AGCGCGAAACATACTGGCATAAACGCGGCGCGTCGCTGGTGAGCGGGGTGATTGGCTGTCTCATGTGTCATGTGTGGACAGACCGTGTGGCCAAAGTACGTTCATGATGTCGCAGCGCCATGGGTATTTGCGCGGCCTTGGTGGGAAGTGCGTGCGCGCGGCGCCGTGCCACTGGGGAGCGCGAAACATGCTGGCGTAAACGCGGCGTGTCGCTGGTGAGCGGGATCGTTGCGGTATCAAGAGTGTCCCAAAAGAGTGCCCCGCAAGAGCTTCCGACAAAAGTGACCCACAAGAGTGTCCCACAAGAGTGTCCTTCAAGACGGCGTGTCGCTGGTGAGAGGGATGATTAGTGGTTTCAGATGATGACAGCAGGGGCAACGCGCTAATGCGCCCTGCTGGGGACACACTGGCGACTAGGGCCAGGTTACATCAGGGACGCGCTCCCTGACCTCAAGCTGTGCCATGTTTGGGAGGCCTGTGCGCTACTTACGCTACTAGGGGCTCCTGGGCTTACTACTAGGAGCAAGGACGCAACTAGGGGCTCCTGGCATCGCTACTAGGAGCAAGAGGACGCTGGTAGGGGCTCCTCACATCGCTACTAGGAGCAAGGACGCTACTATAGGGGCTCCTCGCATCGCTACTAGGAGCAAGAGGATGCTACTAGGAGCTCCTCACATCGCTACTAGGAGCAAGGACGCTACTACAGGGGCTCCTGGCATCGCTACTACAGGGGCTCCTGGCATCGCTACTAGGAGCAAGGACGCTCCTGGCTTTACACCATTGAAGACTTTTAGATGTAAACAGTGGAATGTTTCCCGTTTTTGCGAATCGGTCGTCAAGTGTGAAACACGCAGAATGGTAGCAACGTAATATTTTCTTCGCATTTTGGTCAAGGTCCGACTTTGGTTCGTGACATCGAACAAACTCTGTGCTAGCTTCAGAACTTAATGCGTAACCTGGCGTTATATGTCGAGGTTCAAGCTTACTGTCTGGCCTCTCACCCTGGTCCACTCACCGGTTTTCTCACTTTGTTTGTTCTGCGAAAGTTGTTTGCGGCGTGGACGCAGCGCTACCCAGATGTCGGTGGCTTGCGAGAGGTCAAGAACTTGCAGAAAAAAGGTGTTCCTGCGCGTCAGAGAGACATACAGAGAGAGACACATACACACACAGACATAGATACACACACACACAGAGAGACCCACACACTGACTCAACACACTATCACTAGACTTCACACTTCACACTGAACACTTACCACGCAACTCACACTCTAACTTCACACGTGGTGAAAAATGCTTTCGGGCCACTCGTCGTCTAGTTTTATTGGATCCGCTTGTCAAAGGCCCTCTATATATATATATATACACATGAAATTCTCGTTCCAAGTCCAAAAGATTCTGTCAATCCAATGTGTGGATTGAAAACAAATCCTGACTAGACGACGAGTGGCCCGAAAGCATTTTTCATCACGTCGGAAGTCAGAGTGCGAGTTATCTGTTAAGTGTGCAGTGTGAAGTGTTAAGTCGAGTGAGTTGAGGTAGTGTGTGGGTTTCTCTGTGTGTGTATCTATGTCCGTGTGTATATAAGTCTGCGTATGTGTGTGTGCGTTCGCGTAAGTTGAGGCAGTGCGTGGGTGTCTGTGTGTGATGCGGCCTCCCAAACCCCCCACCGGCGGCCAAGCGGTGACAGCCCAGCTCATCGTCGTGAGCATTTGGGCTGCTGGTAAGGAGAGAAGCAGCGTGCACGCCTCCAGGAAATCTCACTGAAAAAAGCGAGCTGGAATGAAGCGTACTCAAGTTGTACTACAAAGTCGCCAGTTCTCATCTTCCAGCTCCACAGATTGCTCCGCGTACTAAAATTGCACTAATGGATTCCCCTTGAGAAGTGGTAGTCCAACTTCCAAAAATGGTAGTCCAAAAATGTGGTCACAGCCAGAGCTCATTCAAGAGTGATTGCCAGAGCTTGGTTGGTATGTGAGCTCTTGAAGATGCTCCAAATTGACCATCTCACATGTGATTCGTTGCCTTTAACAAACATATATGCAAGTGTGGAATGAGGGAATTGGAGTTTTTGTTTATGGGATTTGGAGATTTGGAGGTTGCTTGGGGTTCAAACTGGTTTCACATCCCCATAGTCATAACACATCCATGATTTATTGTGTGTGTTCGTTGTGTAAATGGATGTGCAATGTGCTCATGATTTATCGCGTGTGGCATTATGCATTGTGTATATGGTTGTGGTTCTGAACAATGTTTGTTGTACACCAACTGTTGCGTGTCAAAGAGAGAAACGCAATCTAATGCCCACGTTGTCCTCAAGGCAGAGATCTGGAACCGCTTCCCCTATTGAATGTTATGTGTTGGGTGATTTTTGTTTGTTTTGGGATTGCATGCCAAATGTCTTTCAAAAACTCTACCATAAGGGCACAGGCATTGCAAAGAACTACCACTGGCCACTCAGAACACTCAGAATTGTCAACGCTGTGGTACATGGAGATTTTGGTGTAGCCAGGTTGTCAAAAGCAAAGCCAGCTTCGCCCAAAGCCGCCCACACTCTTCGTTGAAGAACATCATGAAACAAATCCTGGGCACCATTTCGTCCAAACCCATTGCAGCGCCATGGTCCCAAGTCGAATCAGTTTCATTGGTGGACTGGACGTGGTTCCCGGCTCTGTGTTTATATTTGGTGTGTGATGCAAATGTGGAATTTGTAGTTGAATGAATGTAATCAAAACAAACCAGAGGTGTGATTTGGATGTGGAGTTGAAAAGACATGAATGTAACTGGTGCTGTCTGTGTACTTGAGTTTTCGTTTTGGAACCAAATGATCTCAAAAAATGAAACCAGATGGTTGTCAACATCTTGGCTGATCATCCTTTTCAAGAAAAGATGGCTGGCCAGAATATGTCAACCATCTGGTTTGAATTTGGCAGCTTCAACTTGTTAAACGCATGTAAACACAGCTCTCACATACACCAAAACATAGCACATCTTTTTGGACTCGCTCGCGGTTGCAGTAGGAGTTGCGTCAGCCAGTTTTTGGGTCTTTAGATCCTTTTGAATCTGACCCCTTCTTGTCTTTGGTTTCATCTTCTTTTTTGGCTTCAGCCTCAATTTGCAATTTCTTTTTCTTTTGCCGTTTCTTCTCTCGTTTGTTTTTTCTTTGTTTGTCTCTTTTCAATTTCTGTAGCTGCTTCTCAGTCAGTTGCTGGACTGGTGCTGGTGCAGTCGATTTTTTCTTCCAAGGTGCCCTGGGATCATTGGCACGTTCATTCACTGTCAACACTGTGGTAGTTGCAGGTCTCGGTGTAGTCAGGTGGAGTAAAGCCAGCGTTGCCCAAAGCTGTTGACACTCTTCGTTGAAGGATTTCATGAGGCACATCCTGCGAAGGATCATCTTGCTCCAGATCTGTAACTTCTGACATCACATCATCCATACCAAGTGCAGTGTCATGTTCTGAAGTTGACGGACTTTCAGTGGTCGACATGGCTCCTGGCTTTGTGTGATGCTAATGTGACTGTGGCATTTGCGGTTGAGTGAATGTATATAGATAGGACCAACCAAAGGTGCAATAGAGTTAGAGGCCCCCATTT